GGGGGGGGGGGGGGGGGGGGGGGGGGGGGGGAGAAAGAGATAGAGAAATAAGGAGAGAATGAATATATCTATCTCTGTTTGGCTGATGTTCAACAAAAACAACTTTGCTACCATAGCTTTTATCCAAGATTACTAGAGCCAGACCCACCCTCCCTTAATGTCTTCATACGCTCTTCTAAAGTTCTTTTGCAAGCATACTTTTACATCCGGCTCTTGAAATTTCTGTTGCATCCTATGCCATCAGAATGTTATTTGAGAGTTGAGGATCCCTGACTATTTTGTACAGTTGTGTGCATGTATGTGTGCGTGTCTTAGAGAAGAAGCAAGCATAGGAAAGAGACTGAGAGTGAAAAGAGTGTGTTGGAGCCTTGTGTGGACTGCAGTCTCCCCTTTATCCCTCCCCTTCTCTTTGGCTAGTTGCTGTAGTTCTGATCTCCTTATTTGGCTACACTGTTCCCAAAGAAGGGGTGGGGTGGGTGAAAGGGGAGGGGGAGCAAGAGGGAGACTGGGTGACATCACAGAACAGCAGAGAAGAGGTTCCTTTAAAAAAAAAAAAGCATGAAACACTAAGCCAGCCCGTTGTCTCTGCAGTTTCTTTAAAAGGAGATATCTGCACTGGACACCTTTGTTGTGTTCTCTCCCGGAAGCCTCCTGCCGGAGGAGACACCTCTCTGTTCTCATCACCCCATGAGCAGCTGGTGGTGGTGCTGCAGTCCCCAAACAAGTTATTGCAAAACACCCAGCTGCTTTGGAGCAGTGTGGAGGATGGGAATTGAAGGAACAGGCACAATTTCCAGGCTCACAGATACAGCTGAATTGCAGACAGGGGTCTGGATCCTTGCAGAATCTTTCTGAAAATTATGAAAAACTAGAAAAAAAATCCTGTGATTTCTCTGATGATATACATCTTAAGGACCAATGTATGCCCATTTTTCTGTCTCTGTCATGTCAAACCATTGTCTCAATAGATTACTTTAAATCACTGAGAAATACCAAATTTAAAATATTGATTGAACTTTAGTTTCAGGTTGGAAACTCATGTATTCCTTCTAAAAGTTAGAACTATAATGAGACATATTCTGGTTTGCAACAAAACTACTCTTTATATAATTTAGGAGTAAAATTCAGTCTTTTTAATCATGTAGTCCGTATGTTTTGGGGAGTTATCAGCATGGAAACAAGATGGATCTCTGCTTTCCTCTCAGGCTGAACAATTTGATTTCTCAAAGACACATCCACATGTTCAGTGGCACATGAAGAATGTGCCATTGGACAAAGCAAGATTTATTTCTAAGTAAAGCATGCATTACACCAGGCTGTAAGTAGAATTTACCAGCCTGTGGTTGAACAAAATAGTGTTTCTCAAAAAAAACAAATGTGAAAGTAAATGTTTCTGTTTAACTACTCATTATCAGTGCTGAATATTTGGAAGATGTGCATCAAATAATAGACATGGAACAGATATATATAACTATGAGATACAAGATCCCAGTGCTGTGACCATTGTCTATTAGGAAGTCCACAGTAGATGACACTGCTGTTTATAATCTTTAGTTTCAGAAGCCTTTGTTGTTTCTTCAATATTTTCTTTTTTGTATAAAATACAGTGGTACCTCGCTTCACGAACTTAATTCGTTCCACGACTCTGGTCGCGAACCGAATTGGTCGCAAACCGAATCAAATTTTCCCATAGGGTTCAATGTAAATACAGTTAATTCATTCTGAACCATATGTATTTTTTTTTTAAACCACAAAAATATGAAACAAAGTACAGTACA